TCGAGTCCGACATGCCACCGACAGGTGGTATCCGAGGGGATTTCCTCACTAAAAAAAAGACGGTAAAGTCCCCTCAAAATATTCGTTACCTTCTGACTGACGCTAGTTACCTGCGTTTGCCAATTATCTGTACTAGAAAAGTGTAGATCGAACTCATAGTCCTTAACATTATTCATTATTTATTATTATTATTGCATTATTCCTTGTCCTTACACTATTGTATTAGGTACAAAACCTGTAAAAATAGTTGTATTGTGTGTCATATATAAATAAATAAATAAATAAACATTGCAGTAGTTGAGCAGATAATTTAAACCACTGCAATATCTACTAATTTTATAAATGCGCAAGTTTTTGAAGCTGTTTGTAACTCGATTATACCAGATTAGCACAACGGATCTGGCTAAAATTTGGCAAAGACATAAATTATAGTCGGGAAAACGCAGCTTATATTGAGTACAATATAAATATCTATTTATTACACAAATATGTGTTTGGCCGCACTGCTGTAACGCACACAACAGTTGAGTATTGTAAACACTGTCTGCTATTCTCAATAATCTAGTGCCATAAACAAAATATATGTATTTGAAACTATTAACGCGAGTGAAGCCTCGGGTAAAGGCTAGACCTTCATAACCCGTGTGGCCTGTGAAGGAGAAGACACTATGTATGACGCACTTCAGTTTGTTTTAATTTAAAAAAGAAGAACAAACAACTGAAGTAAAACTTCTTGAATATGAGAGAAAGAAAATGTGTGCTCGCACCTCTCTCTCTTACAGTAATATACGAAACGTAACTCTCTCTCTTTCTATCTTCACTAACTTATATCTCCCTCTCAACTTCCGTTCGCCTCGCCCGATCCCACTTTCCGTAACGCTCTCGTCACGCATTCACTAGATTACTCCCCAAGTCAAGCGTGCGTAAAAAAGTTTTACTTCAATAAACATTCAATATCTGTATTTCATAAATTGAAATCACATAGCAAAGTAAGTTCATAAGTTGTGATAGTTGAAACTATCACAACTTTCAAATTGAACAAAGTTCAACATTTATTCTAAATCCTCATGTAAATACAAACAATTGATTAACATATAAATTTATAAAAACATTGTGTTGGTATGTAGCTTTTCAATAATTAAATAATCAATTTGGAAATAATACTGTTACTGTGTCGAACTACGCCCACCCGTTCCATATTTATTGTTTCAATTTGTTTTGACTAAGTTATATTGCAAAATTTTTTACTCAGATACATGCCGTTTTGTGCAAAATCAAGAAAACTTACTATTAAGCGTGTCGTTTGCTTGTAAGCAACTTTTAAGGTAATAAGAAAACACACACAAGTTAAGTGGCAACCGGAAAATGTGTGTTTCTTCATCAGAAAGCTAACGATGTCAATCAACCAATTGTCTGTTTGTAATTTCCTACTTTAGTCTCAAATACCTACTAACATAGAACAAAAATTCTACGTACATATATGTATAATTACGTAGGTCACTATGTAAAGTTTGAGACACGCAACTTACAATTTGTATTATATTTTTTCAAAATACTCTTTATCACTGTGTATAAAAATTTATGTCGGCCTAAACCAGTCATAGAAACACCTATTAAAGTCTTCCTCCGATAGATAAAAACTGGCTGGTTCGTAGGCAGCCACCGCTTCTTCGGCATCTGAAACTTACCTTTTATCTTATCTTTTATGGTGGGCAATACAAATAAGTCATAAGGAGCTAAGTCGGGGCTGTAAAGTGGGTGAAGTAGGGTTTCAATACCCGATTGTTGAATTCTTTTTTTTTAAAAGACAACTTCTGAACTTGGAATATGTCAGGTCAGGTCTCCTGTGTCAGCCTGACATGTATCATAGCCTGTGTTTCATATACAGTTGACTGACAGTGTCAGGGGACTTCACAAACATACATGAAACGGACACAAAGATAACCCAGACTCAGAACAATAATTTGTGGATGACACAAAGTGTTGTTTCATGTGGGGATCGAACCCACAACACTCAGTGCTGTAGGAAGCGGCGAGGTAACCGCTTTAACCACTACGCTATCCGTGCAGTCAAAATATGTTCTGAGCGTGCAAACGTAATGTCGTGGTGCAGCATCATTCCTGGACCCGGTCCTTGGTCATCTGTCTGGCACAACTTTGAAAAATTTCTGCATGGGACTGTAGGGTGCCGAGTTAACAGACTTACAATTCTCTAGCACTGATTATGCAAGACATCCACTCTGTAAAAAAAACGTGCAACCATTTTTTTGCCAATGTACCGCGGTCTTTGCAATTTTGGCAACTGCCCATCTGGAAACGGTCATACCGAGAAACGCTTTTTTGCTTTTGGGATCTTATTGATAAATTCATGTTTCGTCGCCAGTACTGATTTAAAAAAATCGTCTTGACCTTCCATTTCCAAAACGCAGACGCATCTCACGGCACCATTAAAGCTTTCAGTGTGGGACAATTGCAGTGCGCAGTCACCGTAATGATCTAGTAGCAGTGAAATAAATTCACACTTGGGCCTCTGATCCTAAACTAGACAGAGCCTGTACTATGGCACCTGCTGAAAACTTACTTATGAATTTAAATACATACATATTACGGATAAATAACACAAACAACCAAAGCAAGTGTTCATTCTCATCACACAATTATTTGTCCGGGGTGGGAATCTAACCCGTGGAACTCTGCCGTCAGAAGGCGGAGCGGGACCGGGAGAGGGACCCCGGCCAGGAACCGCAGGCGACTCAGGCGCCGGAGGTCGCAGAACGACCTCCGTCCTCCATAAGCGCAGGCCTGGGGGTGACAGGTGAGGCCATCTGTCACCCTAGCAGAAGCAGGCCGGGGTGGCGGCGAGCGCGTTGCTCGCTTCCAGGGAGCAGAGGGAACATGGGGTTCCCACACGGGGGGGGGGGGTCGTCTACCTGTAGTTGTAGATGGCCCGAGGTATGTCAGGGGATCAGGGACTTCCTTTCTAGGGTATACCTGGTTCCCCGGCTATTAGTACCCGAGACGGCGTGCGGTTTTAGTCGGACATGCCACCGACAGGTGGTATCCGAGGGGATTTCCGAACGGAAAAAAAAAGGATGTGAATCTAACCCACGACCTTTCAGTGTCGCTGACAGTCAGGATTACTGACCAATAAATCGGTCAACAATGTAGTAGTAGTACTCGTATTATTTCCGAAGATGTTAACTCAGCCAATTGTGAGATAATTTATTTAACAGATGTTTGATAACGAGTGAGACATAATGAAGTGTTTTTCCTTTTAGATATTTTATCAGTACAGTGTCATTGTTTAGTTAGAGTAAACATAAGATTCCTTGTTTTCCTCTCAAAGGTGCTCACAAACTAAAGTGGTAGCGTAGTCCTTGGGGTTTTAAACCGCACCAATTCTTGGCATTACCGTCGTGAATTCACTACTTACAAAAGAGTTTAGGATAGCTGGAGACGTTACCAAAAATACCAGCAGTGACCGATGTTCCTAATATATAAAAAAAACCATAGATGACGGGTACAACGTTCAAAGGAAGGAAAGTAATAGGAAGATGAAATATCGTTTTAAAACTACTTCTAAAACATTTACAGTATTTATATTCATATAATAAAAAATACGAAAAGCTTCCGAAAAAATAATAATAATGACCTCACACATCTCACACACGGCAGTTTGACCCCCAACTAGGCAGAGCTTGGACTTTGGCAACCAGATCGCCTTTTATACGAAAATACCTTTTATGATAGTTGTGAGATCGAAAGTTGATCGGAACTGCATTGAGACCGAACTTTTATTACCAGAATTGGCCTTCAGGCTGCTGTTAAAAATACTTATATATTTCTAAATAGACACATGTTTTACATAAATTACAAGCAAAGAAAAAAGACACAGAACAAATGATCATGTTCATCACATAATATTTGTCCTGGGTTGGAAGCGAACCTACGACCTCTGGGTTAGCAGTCCCGCCAAAACAAAGAATTGAATTATCGTTTTGTTGGTTTTGTTAACCTCATAACCCTATTGTATTAATTAGTCATATCTTTTCAAAGTAGAACACATCTCATAACATAATACCTACCTAAAAATATAATAAAAACAATGCTTCATTTCTTAATTTTGTTTATTAAACAACATAACATAGAATTCGTTACGTATTTCAAATACACAAATCATTACATCGACGAGAGCCTGTTAAATCCACATCCACTCAAAATCAGGATGTCCAGTACATAATTACCTTCGTGACGAGATGGCGGAATTACCTTACAGTATTGTAACATCACTACGTTAGTAAGTTATGTCACGTCACTAGGGTACGTAGCACATGAACATACTTGAGTAGTCATTACTCTGCTGTCTGCGACCCTGTAAAGCCCCTGTCCTAAAGCCATAGAAGAATATAACTTACAGTACAGATTCATTATCCTTATAGTCTAGTACCTATGCACAGGGTACGAATGTAAAATATAAGTATGTTTTTTTTTAAAAGACAACTCCCCTCCCGCAAGGAATATATCCTGTGTCGCGAGGGACTTAACAAACATACATGAAGAGTACACAAAGAACACCCAGACTCAGAACAACAATTTGTGGATCACACAAAGTGTCGTCCCATGTGGGGTTTGAACCCACAACACTCGGCGTAATAGGAAGCAGCGTGGCGACCGCTTAAACTACTACGCCATCCGTGCAGCCTTAAAATGTATATTTATTTATGTATGTGTATAACTGTTGGCCAAAAGGTTGGCTGGCAGGGCATTAAGTCCGCGATGTACATAAGTGCACAAAGTTTTTTAATTAAAATAAATAAATAAAACAATGACTTACAAAACGCTCTAGTCGGTGCAAACCTTACAAAGCTGCGCCTGGGCACAATATAGTCGAGTTGAGTGACTCATCTGACTCAACTCACGTTTTACTTGTCAATGCTGTCAAGTTCTGTCATCTCATTAGTTAACTGACCGCGAAACAGAGCGGTCGCAAGGTTATCATTATGAGTTACTTATTTTGTTTTGTTTTGAGTGCTGTGTTCGCCTATTCCAGTGCTGGACTATTTCGGGACGTATTATATTCCGATTGGATAACATGTAAGTGGATTTAATAATTCAGTTCCAGTGTTATTAAGACGGAAAAACATATAATTAGTTCAAGATTAATTTATGTCTGGCATAGTTTATTGGTTTATTACAATGTGTGACCTTTTACAAGCCCAATTAAGACGAGAATCTATTGTGACCTTAACCCTGTACGAAGGAAGGTCATGTGCAAAAGTGGAATAATATGACTTCGGAGATAACTAAACGCAATGAACGCTATTTATAATTTAATGCACTGTGGTGTAAAGATTTTGAAATACAATTCTCTATAGCAATAGTGGGAGAGCCCTAGTTTGGAACGTATGGGCCCGGCTCACGGCCTCCGTAAGACCATGTCTCTGAGATGCAGGTGTCCATGGGCGGTGGTAGTTGCATACCGTCAGCTAGCTTGCCCCCTATACCATAATAAATACATAACATCTTTATTTTTGACTGCATGGATGGCTCAGTGGTTTAAGCGGTCACCTCGCCGCTTTCTACTGCGCTGAGTGTTGTGGGTTCGATGGGACCTGGGAAAAAAATGTCTTAGAAGACGGACATGGAAACCCCCAGGTGATCTTTATGTCAGTTTGAATAAATGTTTGTAAAGTCCCCAGAGGCGACACTGGGTGTATTCCTAGTGCGGGAGTTGTCATTTTGATGAAAGAAAGAAAAAGTAAAATATTTTTATACTTAAAAATGTGTTCTAGTTATTCAATAAATTTATGCTATAAAAAGCTATAAAAATACTGTCACCACATGTTAACCGACCGTTTGTATACGATAAATGATTAGTTCATCAACGCAGAGCCTAACTCGCTGGGGATAAAAACTTGAAATTTTGGCACCTGATGTTTTTTATATTGTAAGCACCCAATAGCAATGATATTGTATACAAACAAGAGGTAAATACGCCATCAACGCATAAAACGCGAGGGTCCTAATGAGGACCACTGCGAGTGACCACATGTACGTATGTTCTGTGTATTCCGACAGTGTAAAAAATACGACAAAACGATAAATAAAGTTAAAGGAATATCATACCACACGTTTTGTCCTAAAATGCATAAATAATGTATGTACGGTTAATATGAATATAACGTATCTTCCTTAAAATATCATTGCCCAATAAGAATGGATTATTGGAAATTTAACCCCTAAGGGGGCAAAATAAGGGATGAACGGTTGTATGAAAGTTCGTTATTTTGAAATTTAAAAACATGAAACAGGAAATAATCAGTCGAGTGAAGCCGCGGTCAATACCAGTAATGTATAAAATTAACTTATCCGCCATTTTATTACCATCTTCTTATCCCTTTTCCCCAAATTGGAAGATGGTACAGCATAATTTCTTCTTCTATTCTCCTCTATCATTCGACATTTCAGTATTTACTTCTTTAATCGTCTTACACGTTTACCATATGTTTTTTCTTTGTCCATCTACTCTTATTAAACGTACATATATGTTGTCAGAAGTAAAAACAATTAATAATAATAATAACGATTAAAACAAAAACGAAATTAGAAACATAAATACACTATTATTTAAAGTAGGCGAAATTATTTAGCTTTGTTGTGTTTTGTGAATTTTAAAAATAATATAACGAGTTACAATACGATTACGAAATATTTATATTTTTGTCTGACCTGTCGTTGTAGTGGGTAGTCCTAGGCAAAAGGATCGTGTTTTCGAATCTCAACTCGCTCAACTAATTGTGTGATGAGCGTCATCATTTCTAAAACAAACTGTGTGTGTGTGTGTCTGGGTGTAATTTATCCATAATATGTCTGTATTTCGAAATTTAAAAGTATATTCATCATCAGTCTGGTGCTAAAGGACTATGTGTGAGATGGGTGCGATTATTTCTGTCAATTTTATTATAATTTCAAATGTCACACATCTGTTATATTACTTGACCGATAACCTAACACAGATAAACATATATTAATATAATATACCCTACACTATACAACTTAAATGATTATTTTTACGAGAAAGATATTTTACTTCCATTATATTTACATATTTTTTTTTAAAGACAACTCCCGCATTAGGAATATATCCTGTGTCGCGGGGGATTTTACAAACATGCATGAAACGGACACAAAGAACACCCAGACTCAGAACAACAATTTGTGGATCACACAAAGTGTCGTCGGGATCAAACCCACAACACTCAGCGTAGTAGTAAGTGGCGTGGCGACCGCTTAAACCACTACGCCATCCGTGCAGTCGACATTGGCAGGACGACCTTCAATCAAACAATAATACATACACACACATAATGCAGATATCGCTTTTATAGTCCATGGATGAATCATTACTTCATCACTTGTCTAAAACACGTTCATTCATCTGTCAGATCGTAAATAAATAGACTACATATTCTTTAAGATTAAATAACCTGGGTCTTTATTCTATCTGAGTTAGAAGGACATAATTTTTATCTCACCTTGAAAGGTTTTCTGTGTGGCCGCGGAATCACCTCTGTTGCGCTGTCAATCATATGTGTTGGAGCAAGGCTCTCCCACGGTTAAAAATTAATAACTAGTTAGTTATTCTATCCCTCAGAGAAAATACTTTTACCTCTGACAACGTTTCGCAAGACGTATGCAGGACACCATCAATGCAAAAAGAAGGGAAACTTGACACAAACCCTATACCAACCCGTCTGGCCAGCGTGATATAGTAGGCCAAAACCTCTTTTCAAAAGCATTTATCCAGCTGTGGACTATTAAAGCCTCTTGATGATAATGATGATTCTTTACAGGACTGGCCTGTTGGTTTAGTAGTTAGCGATAATAACTGCTAAACCAGAGGTCGTGGGTTTGATTCCTACCCAGGACAAATGTTAAGTTATGACCACGATCAGTTGTTCTGTGTCTGGGTGTCATTTAGTCAAATTCTTTATTACATGTACGTGTAGATAAATTCAGACGTTACAATTAAAACAACTACGTATTACTAAGTGCCTTTTCCAAGCATTGCAATGCTGAGGGCTCATCAATATTGCACATAGTATATATTATAATTTACATTCATACGTTTGTAATATTTTATTTGGAATTTATTTATTTATTTATCTTTATGCACTTTTGTACATCGGCGGACTTAATGCCCAGGGCATTCTCTTCCAGTCAACCTTTGGGTGATGTAGAAATCTTGTAAGGTAGGTGCACAGAGGTTACATCATAATATCAAATTTACAATGAAAATTTATACGGTTCACTACATAATAAACATATACACACATACTACATACTAGATACATAGACATAATTTATATACATAATTATTTACATTGAAATTCATAACATTATAGATATAATCAATTTCTTTATCAATATAATACAAGGTATAAGGGACGTCGTAACAAATACTGAAATAGTCTATTCAAACCATCATTCTAAGTCAAAAATCATTAGAATTTTCTGCCTGAAAATTACTCGGTTTGAGAGCACCTCCCTAACTGCCTCGGCCAGTATTGGGATCCTGGGTATCGGCATATAGAGCGAAGTCCAGTTTCAGAGTCACTTACAGGGTAAGATCAAATTAGCCTTGAAGAAACTTGGTGTGCTGAACCGATCGAGGTAGTATTCCACTCTGGCCCACCGTCTCCAACTCTATAAGGCGCAAGTCTGACCGCACATGGAATACTGTTCTCATCTACGGCTGCAATTTTCCGGCTTCATTCCACGCGGCAAAATTTTCGTCCCCGTCACTTGGATACTAGGCCACTGTGCACTTTTTAAGACAATTTTTGCCACGCACGACCAATCTGTATAACAAGTTATCGTTTGCGATATTACCGCACCGATACGACCTTCAAATCTTCAAGAAAAGAGCGTACTCCTTCCTAAAAAAGCAGGCAACGCGCTTGTGAATCCTGAGTTGCAGGCGTTCATAGGCGGCGATAGTCACTTTTCATCAGGTGTCCGTCTGCTCTTTTACTGTTGGATAGTTTATTTATCGATATATACAGTGATAGTTTATAGTGTATTAAATAAAAACAGCAGTTAATGTTTTTAATTGTTTGCACTCCGATAATTTCTTATGTAATCTTTTTATGTAATGCCCTTGTATAAATCTGGTTGAGCCCACCCATATTTGTTAAAGTAAAGTTTTTAGACAGTCTTTCGAAAGAGGAAAAATAGTCTATGCATCGTGACGGGCAACAGTTCTACCAGGTAAAGTATTGGTGTGTTGCAGTTCCAGAAAAAGATGCTATCTAGTATTAGATGGAGATAATATGGGACATATTATGGCTAGTTTAATGAAAATAGGTGTATATAATGTAAAACCGTCATCACCGTTCGGTTCGATGATCATTTTCAATTATATGGAATCAAGAAGAGGCAAACCGGATTGAACAGGAGACGTGCTTTGCGACAAGACATAATGGTACCTCAGGCACATACTTTCAGTCAAGATTCAACAGCATGTCTAAAAAATTAGTCGGAACACTTTGAGGATCTATTGGAACTACATTAAAACTCTTGGAAATATCAGAAAAAATGGTTTCGGACTATTCTTAGGAAAGGAAGCCCTCAAAACTACTGTTGTTTTTACTGATACAATTACTAATTGTGTTGTTACTGATATAACTATCTTGTGTTATTTTTTGCAGTGTACATATAGTAGAACATAAGACATTATATATTCTATAGTAACTCTTCTTATTCCCGCAAAAAATAACACGTTTATATAATAAGCAGTTTAATTCTAGTTACATTGTAATTTCCGTCCAGTTTCGTTACGCGGTATCTAATAGACAACATTGTATTCAACTAATTAGATTATAATAACCTAACATTATAGGAAGGAAATGATGACTCATTCTGTATGTGAGTGAACTCTTCAGATTCCAAATCTGCAAATCTTAGTTTCGGAGTTTAGGTGTTTTCTATGTATTATATGTATGTATTTACAAAAAAAAAGTTTGTCAGTATTCTATCAGTCAATCTAGCTTTCATAGTACAAGCTCTGCTTAGTTTGAAACTACATGGCGTAGTGTGTTAGATGTCAAAAACATTATTATTATTGTTCAGGCTAGATTGTTGTTACTATGCAATAAAGTTGGATCTTGGGAGGGCCATGCTGCGACATAAATGGGCCGACCGTTGTGATACCACGGCCTCACAGAAAACCGGTGTTAAATAATTCTTTCGTTGCTTTGAGTTGCGGCACCGATGGTCACATTCCACCAGATGACTCGTCCGCTCGTTTAAAAAAAGAAAGAAAATACGTTTATTACACAGCCACAACGCACAAAAAATCAGAGACATGGGTAACATAAAAGGCAAATGAAGAAAGAAACACTTCGTTTGCCCCCTATATAGAACAAGCAATATACGGCTCGACTGAAGTTAAGCGGTTAGTCGAATGGTATTATACACATTCAAGAGCAGAGCCACCAACGCACAAAACGTGAGGGCCCTAATTAGGACCTTTGTGGTCCTAATTAGGACCGCGCGCATGTAATAATTAAATCGAAAAAAATCATTTAATGCCTATTGTCGCTGTTCTGATTACAAATAGCTCTCTCTTTCACTCTTATGTTTTCCCTATTTCCTATCGCACTTGTAGCGTATGTTTTGTTCTAAAATGCATTAATAGAAGTATTTATAGTGTTACGGAACAAATATTTTGTGCGTGCAGTATGAATATAACGTGTCTTCCTTAAAATATCATTGGGTTGGTCCATAATTTTATAAACAATTAATTATACAGCTTTTTGAAAGACTCTATACTGCCCTTAAGAAAACCTCGGAAAGTTAGGAAATATGTATCAATAGAAAAGAATTCTTTCACGTCAAAAAAAAAAAATACCTACGTAAAAATTATAATTCTTAACGAAAATATTTCGACACAAAAGCTAATTAAAATAACTTGCCTCACTTAAACGCTTATGTTATTAAGTATCTCATTACTCAAAAGAATTTCATTGCGACTTATTAATTTTTCTACAGGTCAAACAAAATTAATGTTACATAAGGAATATTACACAAAATATTGTGCAGGATTAACGTAAATTTTAATTACTCTGGTGTTTTGCGTGTTAACGAATCTTAATGAAGCCCGCAGGAGTAATATTTAAAAATATTTACTTCCAATTTAAATTTTGTTTTGATGAGAAAGGGTTTGTTTTTTTCTTTTTGTAAAATAAAAAAAAAATACAAAATAACGCGTTCTAGATTCAGAATAAATAAAAATTGACCGAGTTCTGAGTCCTGGTTTAAGAATACAATGAAGACCGCCCTTATCCTTAGGGAGGTGTTCGACGCTAGCTTGGCGTCCGGACGTTTCCCTGAGTGCTGGGAAAGCGGGAAGCTGGTCCTGTTGAGGAAGTCGGGACGGCTTACAGGCCCACTGTGTTGCTGGACAGGGCGGATACATTGTTTGAGAGGGTTCTCTTTGCCCGCATCGTCCGGCACCTCTGCGAGGCGGGCCCTGATCTGTCGGATTTTCGTACGGAGCGCTCGACGTACGGTGCTGTGTTGCGCCTCAGGACCGTGACCGAAGAGGCGGTTAGCCTTGGTGGCGTGCTGTTGGCGGTGTCGTTGAACATCGCCAACACATTCAATAGTCTGCGATTCAACTGCATCAGGGAAGCACTCCACTATCATGGGGTGCCAGAGTACCTGAGGCGGTTAGTGGTAGACTACTTAGAAAGGGCGTATCGTGATGAACGAGGACCGAAATGGTGCTATGAGACATCGGCCCATGTCGTGCAGTGTTCCGCAGGGGTCTGTTCTCGGACCACTCCTGTGAAACATTGGATACGACTGGAACCTTCGAGGTCGTCTCCCCCTGGCTGAGCGTTATTTGTTACGCCAATGACACGCTGGTTACAGCCCACGGGGCGTATTTTCAAGGCCTGGCCACCAGAGGAGGCCGGAGGAGTCTCTCTGGTGGTCGGGCGCATTGAACCGTTGGCCTTACGGGTGACCCTGGATAAGATCGAGGCGATCTTGTTCCATGGGCCCCGCCGTGGTCCGCCTCCCCGCGCATCCATTGTAGTCGGTTCGGTCCTCGTACCGGTTCAGGCCCAGATGAAGTACCTGGGCCTGATTCTTGACGGGAGGTGGTTCTTCGACGTGCACTTCCTACAGCTTATTCCAAAGTTGGTCGGCGCAATTTGGGTTTAGCCAGCGTCGCGACAAGACGGCTATACACTTGGGTTGTCCAGTCAGTAGTATATCGGCGGACGGCTGAGTTCTGGGCCGGTAGTGTCGTGTGCCGGACGTCGCCTAAATGGAGAATGTACCCGAAGATAGTGCCCGCGCCATTGCGGGCACTATTTAGATTCCAACACACCACCCCTACGTAAACCTTGGTGGGGTGACGGCCCGAGGGGGTTTCCACACGTAAAAAAAAGCCATTGAGTTTAAAAGAACTCAATAATTCTAAGTGTTAATTAACTAAAACATTTGCTTGAGTTACACAGAGCCACACATACTTTATGTAATCGATGTAATCGATATGTAAATCGATTATTTACGACATCACATTTTTTTATCTATTAAAGGTACAGAAGGTTTAATCTATAAAAAAAATTAGGCTACCTCTCTTACACGTCTAGTGGGGATTTTACTTCTCTTATATGTCATACAAAAAAATACTAAAGAGGTATGAAGAGTATTTTTCAATTCTTTTATCTGTTTGCCAAGTATTTTTGAAGCTTAGAGTGTTAATTTGGCTACGAGTGATACTAAATAATTTACTCAATATTATATGTTGTCAATAAAATTATAATAATTTGAATAATATTGTTTGAGTTTAACGGTCTAACAGTTCTCAGCTAATATCTCATACAATACCAAGTCCTAATTGTAATCTCTAACATTTGCAAGTCAGGGAGTACAAATTCTAGTAATCAGCATTACCCAATCACACAGAACAGGCATTGAAATCATACAGGATCTATGCAATATGTATAAAGGTATGATTACATAGACTTTGCACCAATTTACCAATAGCAGTCATTGTGTGATTACATTGAGGTATTTATTTTTATAGTAGCTATAGGGGGTTAATGACCAGCGCATGGACACCCGCAACTCAGTTGGTTTCATTCAGTCTTTTAAGTTGTTGTTTCCCTGTTTCCCAAAGTTATTTGGTCGTCAAACAACCAACTTTATATTACAACTTTTGACCTCTAAATTTTTCATTTCATGGTTAGTATTATTCCAATACACCCCTAATATATTTCTTTTCATTTCCAGGTAATCACGATAAATTTCTAAACTACGGTGTCAGCGAGGTACAAATATTCTTCTACGACTTCCAAAACAACTTCAATTTATCTTTTCCCATCGAATTTGCAGTCGAAGGCATCACATCCAGTTACAATTTGGATATAACACGCCGTCTCATATTCTTCAATCCAGGATACAAATCTCACATTTCTAAAAATACCGAAGAATTGGTCAGACAAACCTTTAGCGATGTACCTAACATTTATCTTATTATTGTAGACCATTCTATGTATACCTCAGCAAAGGGGGGCAAATTCGCTAGCTACGAAAGATCAGTAAGACATGTCTACTACATCGGAACAGCTATTGGAAACTTTTTGGCCGGTCTTCAAAAACAAGGGTTCCCTTCAAATAACATACATTGTATTGGTCACAGTTTGGGCAGCCAAATGCTTGGATACGCAGGAACAAGATTCACAGAACTGACGAACGAAAAAATTTGGAGGATCACAGGCTTAGATCCAGCTGGTCCTTGCTTTTCTAACGGTTCAGTCGAAGATCAAATCAGATCTGGTGTTGCTAACTACGTAGAAGTGTACCACTGCAATGCTGGAGGTTTAGGAACTACATCAGTGTTAGGCGATATTGATTTCTTCTTTAACAAAGCAGGGAAGAAGCAACCGACCTGTCATTCAGGCATAATTCCTGGGAAAGGAGAGAGTGATGCTGCTAAGTGTAGTCATAAAGCCTGTGTTAGATATTATACTGAATCTGTGCATTTAAAGACCGGTTACTTGGCATGGGCTTGTGATTCATACGATCATTACTCTAAAGGGAGTTGCTCCGTGAATCAGGTAACGATAGCCGGTTATAATAATCCTGGGAATGTTACAGGAACGTTTTATGTTTCTACGGATATGTTTGGAGTGTAGTTAAAAGAAGACAATCGTGTTAATAATACGAAAGTTATCACATGTCTAATCTAATGTCTATTAGGTACCACTGTAATGAAAAGGTCATAATTAAATAAGTATTTATCATCATCAACAGCCTATAATAGTCCTCTGCTGGACATAGGCCTCCCCTTAGAAAGGAGGTCTGACTCAGGAGTCAGGAGTATGTGGTGATTCCACTAAAAACCACCCCGACGGCTGGCCTTAGGTGTCCTACTCTGGGTGGTCCTGTCTAACTCTGTTTTATGCCATTTCATTAGTTGCAGAAAATAACAAATTATTTTCAACACAAGATAGCTAGACTAGATTAGGATATTAAAAATATTCTATGAGATGATCTGAATTTCAAAGACTTCAATGTTTCAATTCATGACTTTTCTAATGTTTCTTTAATGTTTTGATATTATTTAATGATTTAAGGAGAGATTAACATTATATTTTTTAGTAAGATTATTATAAATATTACCAGTAATTATAAAGTTAATCTGTGGAATCTTAATAATATCTGGTAATATCATTAGGTACGTGAACAAAATTCTTTGTCTGCATTTTTATGCCAATTTAACTTACATAGGAATGTGAAAATTGAAATAATTAAAGTTAAAATTCTTAAAATCTATGTAAATTTTAAAATTACGCCGGAACGCCTAGGAGGAACTACGCAGCAGTATACTCGTATTTGTTGATTTGTCATGGTACGAAATAAGCATTGTTATGTTAATAAAATACCAGTTCTACATACTGGTAACCAATTCATGATACGAATGGGTCGGTAATGGGAAACAAAACACTTAACAATTGTTAGGCAATCTTTAGTTTTTTTTATAGATTTCTATTATCATTTGATGGTATCGATTTTTTCATTGTTATTGTTATAAACTTACAACAGCAACCTAAAACTAAGTCCAACAAAGTCTATGGTAAGTTAATAGAAATTTACAAATGAACGAGTTGATAATTCTGGTATTAAATAAGAGAATTATCAACTCGTTCATTTGTAAAGTCGTAACTTCGGTAATTTGATTTGTCTTGTTTAGTATTTGATGTATCCAAAACAGAATGAGAATGGACAGGTAGTAATTCTTGTCTTTTATTGGTTGTGTTAATTATATTAGTTTTGTTGTGTTAATATGTCGTGACCAAGATATAATTGTAAAGTACAATACTCTTTAGTTACGTTTCAAAGAAGATGTAAGATGATACGAGTAGACCTGATTATGATTTTATTGTAATAGTTTCTTTTTATTTATTTATTCCTGACATACCAAGGAAACTGAACGTCAAAAGAACACTACTATTGTAAATTTGACTGCACGGATGGCGGGCGTAGTGGTTTAAGCGGTCACCTCGCCGCTTCTTACTGCGCTGAGTGTTGTGGGTTCGATCCCCAAATGGGACAACACTTTGTGTGATTCACTGTTCTTTGTATCCGTTTCATGTATGTTCATGAAGCCCCTGCGACACAAGATATATTCCTAGTGCGGGTCTTTTAAAAGAAAATTCTTAAAAACATAGTTTAGAACTACTTAATATTAGACATATTTAAGGGACTGAATAATAGTCTGCTATCCGTTTTCCTTATTTCAATTTACTATCATTCTTTGTCCCGTCTAAAATGATTATATTCCAAAGTGGGGTTGGCGTTAGTAAGGTGGCTGGCCTCGATAGAGAGCGGTCTTTCCTTTAATGTTTGATATTTTGGGAATAATTTAACTCTTTAATGGACATTTCAATACTGACAGTTAAACCATATAATAAACCATAAGCTATGAACTAGAGTAACCGACATCGCACAGAAAATCAATAAACTGAAGGGGAAGTGGGCGGGTCATGTCTCCAGGCGGACGAATGGATGGGACTTGAGGAAAGTGGATGGCAGCGAATGGATGAGCACTGCCCAAGACCGGGGCCTCAATTCTGCTATTTTAATATTGTATCAATAGACTGTCGATGGAATGTCGTCGGAATAGTTTTGCACTTTTCCTATTCTACTAACTATGTAAGACCAATGGCCCTCCGATGACTTGTCACTGATACAAAAGTCGTCGATGTTTTTGTAACAGTTTGGTAAACGGTATATTTTAAATTTGTAAGAAAATTATATATGTATGTATTTTTCCAGGTATGGCAATGTAGTTGATACCATTGATGACCTATATCGACAGTCTATTGACACTGTGAATTTATGTTAGTCGAATACCGATATTTTGACTCATGTCAATGGCGTCTCAATAGCGTGTCAATGGAATGACAGAGGCATGGCGTTAACATAAAATAGCAGAATTGAGGCCCGGGATGGTGCGCGCTCTTTGGGAGAGGCCTTCGTACAGCAGTGGAGGGCGATAGGCCAATGATGAAACCATAAACCCTCAGTAAGAGATACATAAGTTACAATAATTTATCCCTAGGCTTTACTTGGTATAAAAGAATAGGATTATTCAAATGGCCGACATTTAAACTATCACTTGAAGACGTGTAGTTCATTTTTTTTTGTTTTATTAAAAAAAATTTTTTTTCAGTGAAAGTCTGGATATCTGGAATAAGTAAAAAACGACTATGGTTATAAACAGTTTAGTGGTTAATGATTCTGACTGTTAGCCAGACGTCGTAGGTTCAATGTCCACCTAGGACGAATTATTGTGTGATGATTAGAACGATAATTTGATCTTCATCTGGGTGTATTCTGTTATAATACACATGTTTTTAAAAGTATAAATTAAAGTAATACAATTTTTTAAGAAACAAATCAGCAGTCTGGTTAATATAACACAGGCTCGGCCTAATTTGGGATCAGACAGCCGTATGTGAGATGTGTCTAGAAATTGTTATTGGTATATTATACAAAACGACGTCTTTTTCCTTAATTAAGAGCCATTAGGTCGGCTGTATCTGATATTGGCCGTAGATGTTTGCAGATTGCAGTGTCATTAAGTAAATTTGTTTCTTATGATACAAGCTCACAAAATTGCTTTTTTGTTGTTTATTAACTAGCGATTAATAGGTTGAGATTGAACAGTTTTTGTGACCTTTTTTTAGGAATTTTGAGTTACTTATTCTGAGTAGATATCATTATACCGTTTTACAGCCATACTTCGGCATATATGGACTGGCTTCACAAAAGTGATAAAACGGGGTCACAGAAAACCGGTGTTAAGTAATTCTGTGTCTAGTTGTAACCTATCTGTCATATCATCATCATCATCAACAGTCTTTAATAGTCGCAGTCGACATAGGTCTCTCCTCAGAAAGGAGATATCTGTAATATGACATGTATGTATTAACAAATATATAAGTATGTTTGTCAGCAGTCTGCATACCATAGTACAAGCCCTGCCTAGCTTGGATCCAGACGGCCGTGTGTGAGATGTGTGAGGTTATTATATTTTTCTTTTTAAATTTTTGAACATTAAAATAAAATAATTTGTTTTAAAATGTGCGTTGTTAATAAATTAGCAACTACAAGTACATTTGAAATGCACGTGATGCAATTTGTTATTTTCCTTTTATAAATGAAACGTACCATGCACAAATTGTTGTACAAACCATGCTTAAATAAATATGTATTATGTATTGAAATTTGTTTTGAAATATTTTCCTGTCTATGTCATAATTCGTCACAGTCTACTAATTTTCAAATTGGACATTCAAACAGTGCTCGGATTTTGACGGCATGGTTGGTGTAGTGGTTTAAGCGGTTCCTTCTGCGAAGACGTTATCTCACAGAAGGAAGCGGGGAGAGGGCCCGGGAGGATAATCTGCCGACGAACCGGGCCGCGGAGGCGCGCTTACCAGCGCCCCATGCCGCCCCGAGTGTGGCCGCGGGTGGACGGGACGGGTTTTCCCCTCCACCCGTAATAACGGCCAGCTGCGAGGAGGCGACGTCCACGTGTGCCGGACGTCTCCTAAATAGAGAATATACCCGAAGGTGGTGCCCGCGCCGTTGCGGGCAGGCGCTAGGAGAAGTCCGGATGTCTTAATAACAGCAGTTCCCGGATCCCTCCTATTACAGGCGCAGAGTGGCACACCGTGTGGTTTTAGTCGGTCCGATTCCGACACAGCACCCTGCCGTAAACCCCGGTGGGGTGACGGCCCGAGGGGGTTTCCACACGTAAAAAAATAAAATAAAAGTGGTTTAAGCGGTCGCCACGCCGCTTTTTACTGCGCCAAGTGTTGTGGGTTCGATGCTATAAATTGTTGTTCTGAGTCTGGGTGTTCGTTGTGCCAGTTTCGTGTATGTTTGTAAAGTCTCACGCGACACGAGATATAGATAAAAGTCAATTTCTTTCAGGAAACAGGGTCACTAATTTTCTACTGGTACCATTCTACTTTTTTATCAGTGGATAACACGTGAGTGTATTTTATGTGTGTTATTTAAATACCTTGTTGAAGTCTGTTGCACTACTTATTAAATAATCTGGGGCATTATTATTTACATTATTTACGCTTGTTTTGTTACGGTCTGTTATTGTCTTTTCGGTTTTTGCATTACAGATAAATTCCACGTAAATAAAACATTATGTTAATAGTAAATTTAGTTAAAATAAAGTTAAAATAAAATTGGAGTGTCTGTTTGTAATATTAAAATATCCGCTTTTTACTAAATGCATTTGTACATATGTTTACACGGTACATATGCCAAAATAATTTTTTTACAATTTTTGCCTGTCTGTCTGTCTGTTTGTTCCGGGTAATCTCTGGAACGGCTGGACCGATTTCGACGGGACTTTCACTGGCAGATAGCTGATGACATAAGGAGTAACTTAGGCTACTTTTTTTAGACTAGCTTCGCCCCGCGGCGTTGCCCGCGGTTATAACAACAAACGCGGGTAACACCGCGGGTCTCAGCTAGTTACACATATATGTGTTATCACCGCGCTTTCGCCCTTTGCGAGCAAGTAGTGGGAATCCCTCATTTTATAAAGATAAGTAATGGATGATGTCATTCAAAATAAAACTCGTGTGGAAAATGAATCATAGTA